ACGGCCACAATGTCGGCCCGTTTAGATGATAGTAGTTCTGGATTTCGATCCAATGCTGGGGGTTAGCCCGATGCAGCTTATATGTTTCCGGACTTTGGTCCGATGTCGGGGCGGTCCCGAGAAGTAATTATGTATGCTTGATGTCTTTGTGATTCATGCATGTTATGTTATGTTATGTGTTCCGGACTCCGGTCCAATACCGGGCAAGCCCGATGCAGTATATGTGATTATGTTATATGATTATGTTATGTTTGTTCAGTCTATACCGGACTTCGGTCCGATGCCGGGCGGGGCCCGATGCAGTGGGCGGTGCCCAAGTTATTCCGGACTTTGGTCCGATGCTGGGCGGGGCCCGATGCAGTGGGTGGGGCCCAAGTTATGTCGGACTTTGGTCTGATGTCGGGCGGGGCCCGATGCAGTGGGCAAGGCCCAGTACGTGTTAAGTGTTATTGTATGGTATGTGGTAGTTTGGGGGAGCTCACTAAGCTTCGTGCTTACATTTTTCAGTTTTGGTTTCAGGTACTTCCGGTAACAAAGGGAAGAGCTCGGGGAGATCGCATGGCACACACCATAGTATTTCAGCCTGGGATGATTTGAGACTCTGATATTTTATCATTTGTTTTGATACAGTGTTTATTATGATATTATGAGATACATGACACTTGGTTTTCTTATCGATTATGAATGATTATAGTTTCTATAATGTTTTTCAAACAAAATTTTTGGACCGTATTTTTGGGATGTTTCATGACAATACCCAGACCTCAGATCTATCTTGGAGAACCAAGACGCACCCTGCAACTAATCAAAGAGGTCGTCCATCTGCAGAAGGGGATAACGGTTCTTCACCATTAACTTGTTCAACTCCCGGTAATCAATGCACATCCGGTGCGAACCATCCTTCTTCTTGACGAACAAAATAGACGCTCCCCACGGAGAACTGTTTGGTCTCATGAACTGCTTGCCTAGCAGCTCCTACAGCTGAGATGACAACTCCTGCATCTCAGTTTGTGACAAGAGGTATGGTGCCTTGGCAATAGGGTCCGCACCTGGCACAAGGTCGATCCTGAAATCGACCTGCCTCTCGGGAGGCACTCCGGGAAATTCCTCCGGAAATACATCTGCTACGCCCTGACAACCGGGACCTCTAAAACTGAAGTTTGATCTCTCACACGTGTATCCACCACATAAGCCAAGTAGCCTGCACACCCATGCTTAATATACTGTCGAGCCCTGGCTGCATAAGAAAACCCTAAACCCATCCTGGTGCCCTCTCCATAGATAACCAATTCTCCCCCACTTGCGGTTCGAACTACCACGCGTTGGCCTTCATAATCAATCATAGCACCGAACCGGCTCAGCCAAACCATACCCATAATAACACAAACATCACCCCATAGGAATAGGGACCAGATCGATCGGATACGACACCCCGAAGATCTCTAGAACACAATCGTGATATACTGATGATGCAGAAACCTCGTGTTCGTTGGTGATAGAAACTCGCAACAAACACTCTAACTCCTCATTGGGCATATCAAACTCCCTACTGAACGATCGAGATACAAAAGACCGACTCGCACCCGAGTCAAGCAATACCAGAGCATGCAAAGAGTTCACTAGGAACGTACCAAACAAAGGCACACAAATAAGCATAACATACAACATAACCAACAAAATAATGGATAGAAACAGACCAGTCACAACATCAGGAGATGCTATAGCCTCCTCGACAGTGAGCTAGAAAGCGGGACCTCAAGCCCTCGGGGGCTCCACCCTGCCCTGACTCCCATCAGTGATCCTCAAAGTAGTCGGCGCTGGAGCTTGTGCCGGCCTAGCAGCAAGTGAGGGACAGTTGGCCTTTACATGGTCAACCTGGTCGCAATGATAACAAATCTTGGAGCTGAGTCCTGGGGACTACTGGTGGCAATCCCTCGCTATAAGGCCCTGTCGGCCACAATTGTGGCACCCGGAAGATGATCGGCAGGCACCCTCATGAACCTTGTTGCACTACCCACAAGTGCGGCCCCTCCGACCCCCAAATATGACATCAGGGACTTTGAACCGCTTCGGCGCTGGCTGCGACTGCGTCGGGGCCAGTCTCTTCTCCCTAGTCTGAAGCTCCATCTCAATCTCACGCCGCTAGCGGCGTCCTGCAAATCCATCAAAGAACTATAGCGATAGGTGGACAAAAACTGTCGGATCTCCGTCTTGAGCATGCTCAAGTAACGGTCATCTGAGCCTGCTCCGAAGCAGCAAACTCAGGACAAAACATGTTACTCTCGGTAAACATCTTGGTGATCTTTGTCACCGTCTCCGTCCCCTGTCTCAAATCCAGATACTCCTGGGCCAACCTCTCACGCTCCACCAACGACACATATCTAGAGCGGAACATCTCCGAGAACTGCTCCCAAGACACAACAGCTCTCTGCTTAGAAGAAAACGAACTAGTAACAAGTCTCCACCAATCCTTCGCTCCGGACCTCAGCAGGTTAAGTGTGCATCTGACCTTCTGGTCAGCTGGGCAAGAACAGGTGAAAAAGCATCCCTCAACATCAGACAACCACCTCATGGCTATGATCGGGTCCTGCACTCCATCAAAAGTCGGGGGCTTCATATTTTCGAAGTCCTGGATAATGAAAAACCTGATCCGATCCAACCCCTACAGCAACAACAGCAGCGGTGGCTACAGCAGCAGCAGCCTCAGACAAAGCGACATAACGCTTATCAAAGTACTCGATCATGGCGGTCTTAATAGACCTAAACATCTCTGGAAACTGAGCTCGGAAGTGAGCAACAACCTCCTCCTACAGGATCTCCCTAATCCTGCCATCCAACGCACCTGACCCACCCTGGCCGCCAGCTCTCGACCCCAAATCAGACCCGGTCTCAAAACGTCTTGTCATCACCATACTGAAAATAAACTAGGGAGATATTAGACAACACACATATCATATCAGGGGAACCAACTCCCAACAAGGCCCTGGGGGTTGTGACCTCCTTGTTACGCGTACGGGTTCTGTGCTTTCAGTAGTACGGGCCCATACTACCTTCCACGCCTACCTGTAATTATCTTAGGGATCATCACAACAACCCTAGCAATACACACTAGCATAATAATACACTCAATCCTCACTCCCTAGAGGAAATCTAAACATCTCGAAACTGGTCGGCTAACCCCACACAACTCATCCATGAAACTTCCACCAACCCTGCAACACTCGTGTATGCTAATCATACATAACACCGGACCCTATGGACAGTCGAATATCTAATCCTACCCTAATCCCTTCATCAAACAAGAACATGAAATAAGGCCAAACCAAACATTCTCAGTCTATAGAATCTTGGTTATGTATGACCATGATGCATACAAAAGGCAACTACAGTAATGATGTCAGTTCCATATAAAGAAAGGTCCTAGGATATCAGGCATCATGAAATCAGGCAATTATGTCATACAATTCCTGAAGATCCCTAGCCTATAACTAGCATGTTGTTCTAACATAGCACAATATCAATAACAGTGTGGTATTTTAGGGTCTACTTATTGGCTCCGACTGATCGTACACCTTGCATCCTCCTCAATTATTTTGAAAATTATTTGAAAATTGTTTTAAAAATCTTTTTCCTTAGTTCGAGATTGGATTCACACGAGTGTTCCTCCAATTCACTCAAACCAAGGCTCTGATACCAACTTGTAGCATCCATAAAAATCATGACAAATTTAAACTTTTTAGAACCAACCAAAAATCATAATTGTTTATAATGTAGTTTTCAAAACATGTTTAATATCAGAGTTTTCCCAAAATCATAAAACAAACACGAGGAGGTGCACGATCATGCCTTCGCCTTTCCGCGATCATCTGAAATACCTGAAACATAACCCAAAACTGTAAGCCTAAAGCTTAGTGATTTGCCCCAAAATAATAACACATATACAATAGGCAGAATTTCGTATACGCCCTTTCTAAAAAGCTAAATATCATATTTGCCCGGACTAAACTCTAAATATCGTATTTGCCATTCCTAATGTTTTTTAATATCATATATACCCAAATCTATTTTTTTTATATTTTTTATTGATTTATAATTGTTTTTCATAATATTAAATCATTATAAATAAAATACACTATGAATGGACAATAATACCCTTCCTCCTAATCTCCAATACAACAAACGATTCACAGTTTTATGGATCGATTCTGCCAAAAATCGTTTTCCCCATATCTTCTAAAAATCACGATCGAGCCTTCCCTTCCCTGAGGCTTCCGATCTTTGCATCCAATCGCCACATATAATCAATCGTTGGTTCCCCTGTTATCGCATACACACACAGCAGGTAATTAAGAACCGAATCCATTCCCGTACTTCAATTTTGATTATGTTGTTGTTGTTTGATTTGTTCAACAATTCCTAGACTTATTGTAGCTGCCGTAATCAGGATTTTATGGTTTTTTTTGTCAATTGAACATTCAATTTGGGATTACAACTGATGAATATGTCACCTACACATCTAGAATCTGGAATTGTTGAAGCCCCTGTATCAGTTTCATAATTCCTTTTCCATATAATTTGTCTAATTTGTCAATGATTCCTTTATATCATGAAGAAAACTAATTGATGTCAAAACAGAAGAGACTAACTAGAAAACTAATTGATGTCAAAACATGACTTCATGGGAAGAGACTAACCAGAAAACTAATTTTGATTATGTTGTTGTTGTTTGATTTGTTCAGCAGTTCCTAGACTTTTTGCAGCTGCATATAATTTGTCTAATTTGTCTGATGATTCCATTATATCATGAAGAAAACTAATTGTAGTCGTGTTGTTATACCTTTATAGCTGAATCATGTTATACCTTTATATCTGAATCAACTACTCTTAGCTATTGTGCCAATGATATGCAATGTTGATGTTTATAGTCGTGTTTTTATACCTTTATATCTTTTTTTTCTTATCGCCGACTTAAAATTATATTTTAGAGGCGATACAAACCAATGTCGGAAGATCATTCTCAAACAGAAGATACTACCCTTCATGACACATCAAAACCCATATGGGAGAGCAGGGCTACGTCTCCAATAATCGAGTATGTTTATGCGAATATCTTAATGTTAATTCAATTAGACATTTATTAAATTGTATGATTGTTTCTCTAATTAATTTTCAATTTTAGGCGTATACCAACATCCAAGTTTAAGTTAAAATTGAAATATGGAGGTTACTTTCGACTAACGAAGAATAGTTGTAAGCAAATATATTGCTTTGGCTCTCAAAAATGTATCCACATAGACACATTTGTATACAAGTTTAGTCAACTACATGAAGAAGTGGTAAAACGTTATTCATCAAAGAACAACCCGAAAATTTCTATTTTTTATGTTGACAAGTATGCACCAGAAAAATCCCATATTGTGCTTGATTCTGATGAAAAGTTCATGGCTATGCTTGGCATGTATGGAAGCGAGAAACAAGTAACCATTTATGTGACAACAGAGAATAACCTTGGCTCCAATAATCATACTAACCATTTGTGTGCTAACAGAGATGAACCACACGATAAGTATGATGCAGACCTTTGTCCTAGTGAAGAAAGCTATCACAGTCATCTCAGTTCTGATAATAAAGATGATATAATGAATGATGATGATGTAGTTTACTCATCTAGTAAAAATAGTATAAGCATGAAAGTCGGCTCAAAATTTGAAAACATGGTTGATTTCAGGTGAGCTTTGAACCACTTTGCAATCATAAATGAATTTAACTACTACATTCAAAAAAGCGACCCGGCACGATGCACAGCAATGTGTGAAAACCTAGAGTGCGAGTGGAGAATCCATGCTTCTATTACACAAGATGCAGTTACCTTTGAAGTAAGTGTATACCTTAAGTTATATTTAACATGCTTCATATTAAAAATATATTTATGTTTATTTCATTTTTTTTAGGTTAAGAAAATGGTAGAAGTACATTCTTGCACTCGCAGCAACAAGGGTGGCAATAAGCGAGCCACTCAAGGATGGATTGCTAATGTAGTTACTGACAAGTTGAAATCTGATGGGGATATGAGCTTAGAAATTGGATTATGAAAACTTACAATGTTGATGTGCCATACCTAAAAGTTTTTAGAGGGAAAGAGCAAGCTTATACCGACATGTATGGTAAGTGGGAAGACTCCTTCATGAAGATGGATGAATTTAAAGAAGAACTATTACGAAGGAACGAAGGAAAGCATTGTTGAAATTGACTTTGACATAGTTGGTGGAAAGAAACTTTTCAAAAGGTTTTTTATTTGTTTAGCAGCTTGTTCTAGAGGGTTTGTTGCTGGTTGTCGTCTGTATATTGGTCTTGATGCTTGTCATTTAAAAGGAAAGTTCAATGGTGTATTAGCCATAGCAACTGGTATTGACGGTAACAATTCTATCTTTCCAATAGCATATTGTGTGCTTGAATCAGAAAACACACAATCATGGACATGGTTTCTTGATTCACTGAAAAAAGCAATTGGAACGCCAAATGGTCTTATTATCTCATCAGACATGAAAAAAGGGTTAGAAGTAGCCATGATGAATGTTTATCCTAATGTTGAGCATAGAGAATGTATGAGGCACTTATATAGCAACTTCAAGAAACACTTTCGTGGGGACTTCTTTAACAAAAAACTATGGGCTGCTGCCAAAACCTACCGTCCTACCAAGCATGACAGATTATTGAAGGAAGTTAGTGATAAAAATGAAGATGTCATTGCATATCTAAATACCAATCACAAAAAAAATATGGAGTAGAAGCAAGTTTGGTACTACTTCCAAGTGTGATTACATCACTAATAATATTTCAGAAACGTTTAATTCTTGGATTAGTAAATTGCGCTATAAACCCGTGCTTGATCTCCTTGATGCAATTAGGGAAAATATTATGAAACGGTTTGATAAGAAAAGAAATTTGGTGAATACATGGAATGGCACATTGGTTCCTATTGCTAAAAACCATCTCAATGACATCGCTAAGGTAAGCATGTTAAATAATTCAGTTGAATGATTATATTTATTTTAGTTTTTACTTCAATAATATATATATATATATATATATATATATATATATATACACACACTTAATTTTTCATGTAGAACTTGGGAGAGTATGAAGTTACTAGAAGTTCTGAGAATCAAGCTGAAGTGAAGTACAAGGCAACACGTTGGCAGGTCAACCTGGATGAAAGAAAATGTAGTTGTCGAGTGTGGCAAGTTCAGGGTCGACCATGTGTACATGCAGCGGCTTTTATTGCTTATATAAGGGATGCTAACTGGGACAAATATGTTGATCCATATTTCACTATAGAGAACTTTAAAGCCGCATATGCTTTTCAAATTGCTCCGATGGCCGGACAGGATCAATGGGCGCAAAAGAATGGAGAGAAAATATATCCACCTATTATCAAACGCCCACCTGGACAACCAAGAAAAAATAGAATAAAATCATCGGATGAGTCTAAAAGAAGACACAAGTGTCCGCGATGTGGAGAATATGGACACCGTGAAAGGACATCTAAAAATCCAGCATCTCAAAGTTTCGATCAAAGTGAAACATCCACATCTAAAAGGTTACGTGGAAAGGATACAAAATCGCATGGTTGTTCGGAAGTTTCGGGTTCTACATGAAAAAGTCTTATGTAATTAGTTGGTCCTTTAGAAAAAAAATTTTAGATTAAGTTGAAAATATTCTTAGTTAGGGTTCAATTGATGGATTTTTATTGTTAGTACGTGACATAAATAAATATTTTTTTTTAGTTTTTCTTTCATGGATTTGCGTTTGTTGGCAAATTGGTATATATGGTGCAAATTTAAAGTTCATGGACCAAAATGTAACTAATTCCAAATATATGCTTTAAGGACCAAAATTGTATATATTACAATTAAAACATACAAAGATAAAAAAAAAATATAGCTATTGTTATTAACTATTACAAAATTTTGAAAGTTCAATGCTATATATCAAGAATTTCTCAAAGTACAATGCTATTTCTTAAGATTCGCTTCACGCTTCATGTCCTATCCACTACATTTTCAAAGATTGCATGAAACAGGATAAGTTTCTTTTGGCCACCAAAGACTTCTCCTCCAGATATGTTGACTATTGTGTCCCATGAACCATTTGGATGTTGTGTGTGTGAATCCATAGTAATATTGCCTTTGATAATTCCATGTATATCCTTCATATTCACACAAAATCCATCAAAAAAAAAGATATAGTTGGAATAATTTAATTAAGTACCTAAAAAATCTCAGCACAACCATGATACAGTACAACCCAGGTCATTACATAAATAACAATGTATTTACCTGTAAGCATCCACCATCAGCAATAACAAGTTCATCTACAAAGTGGCGTATGAGAGCTGGAAGAAAATGATGTAAATAATAGTATGGAGATTGTGAGTTAAACACTTTAAATGAAGGGATTTATTTCTTTCTAATGTGTAACAACGTAATTTTTCAAAACAATTTTTCATTTTAAAACATACTTTCATTCACACGATAATCATAAAAACATAATGTGTCCACTGTAACATAACAAAACGTGTCCCAAGATCTCATATACATAAATCCTCTCAGTGTGTACGGATCACGCCGGCGCCTTTCCACGGTCCTCGCTAGTACCTGAAACACATATCACAACAACTGTAAGCATAAATGCTTAGTGAGTTCCCTAAAATACCACATACCACACATACGCCTTTCCAGGCCATAACTCTGTAGGATCTTCCGATCCATGTGTCTCAGGGGACTTCCGTCCCAAATCCCGGTAGACCTTCCGGCCCTACCCGTATCGACCTTCCGGTCCATATCATCTTGACCTTCCAGTCCATATCATCTTGACCTTCCGGTCCATACCATACATAACATACATAGCACATACATATCACATAGCCACATATAGCACATACATCTCATAGCATACAAGACCTTCCGGTCACACATAAGTACCCTTCCAGGTACAGTATAGTGAGAAGACTCACCTCGTATGATGTCTAGTAACTCACGTGCTCGATATCCCTGAATCTCGAAACAACGACCTAGCCCCGCCTAATCACATAAAGTAATTATTTCAAATCATTAACGGCTCTCAAGGCTAGACTAAATCCCTTTCTACAATCCCACAGAAGGGTAAAAGACCATTTTACCCCTCTTTGACTCAAAAGTCCACATGTTGACCAAAACCCTAAAAGGCAACGAAAGTTAACAGCAAGCAGTACGCGGGGCGTACCAGCTCTTGTACGCGGGGCGTACTCCAGCGATCCAGAATCGGGGTCTCGGACCCTTACGCTGCGGGTACTGAGAGTTACGCCCAGCGTAAGTCTCAGTTTCAGCCATTCCATGAATTTTGGTCTTAAACGGTTAAGACACTCCTTCAACTTCCAGATCTGACTCTCCTTAAGCCTCTTATCCCGTAAAGTCGGAACCTTTAAGCCTTTGCATGGTTGTAAAGGTCCCCACACCCTCTAACACCTTTCCTTTCCCCTCCAAAGGTCTAGATCTCATGCATGGCTCAACATTTACGTCCAAGATTGCATTTTTATGAACATACAACTCATATAGTCCTGAAATATGATGGATCTAGGCCAATGGAGACCATTTGCTCATAAAGTCTCCATCTTGGGACCAAAAACCCTAGAAATTGGTCCAAGAAGCACACAACACAAATGACAAGGCAAGTTTTGAGCTTTTTACCTCAGGAAGAAGCCCCAACCTCTGAAAAGCTCGGATCTACTCTTTCCCACAAACTTCTAGCTTCCACAATGGCCTCTTCTTCTCTTCCACCACCTTGAAATGACACTTAGAAGCTTAGAACACCAACACACTAGCTAGAAACGAAGGAGGACTCTCTTTTAGGGTTTCACTCTCTGGAATGGAGGCTGAGGTCATGGTCATAGCATTCCTTTTATAGTGCACAAGTCTCATTTAGGGTTTTGCATCTGGGCCGACTACGCCCAGCGTAATCCTAGGTACGCCCAGCGTACCTAGGCGCCTCTGCGTCCAAAATAAGCGCATGAGTACGCGCAGCGTACTCATTTGCTACAAATTCCACTTAAGGGCTAATCTTGACAATTTGACAAAAGAGAAGGGTTAAATAGTTGTACCTGAATTTCGGGATGTTACATTATGGCTCCTTTTATGGTTTTGGGAGGGGTTTTCACAGTTGAGATATCATTTGCTAACGTTGCCATGAACTGATCTTCATTGTAGATGTAAGCAAAACTTTTAAACTGGACACTGCAAACAACATATAAAATTATAAAATTATAATGCTGGTGTTCAGTACACTATTTACACATATACCATTTCAACCTATTTAATCAGTTTAAAAAAATAGAATGAAAACCTGATTACCTTGCTGCTTGTAGTTGACTGTATCTCTGGAATCACAAGTGTTGAATGCAATGCTTTTGAATAACATCAATCACCGAGCTCCTAATCTCATGAGGCTGAAGATCATAGGCGAAATTAAAAGTTCTTAGTTCACTAAAATCGATTGTACCTGAAATCCAACATAACTAAGCTATCAAATACAATATAACAAAGCAGATTGTAACAAGAATTTGAACAATTGAAACTAAAAACCCTAAAAACAAAATTAAAGGGATGGAAAATAGGTATATGTTGAAGTCACTAGAACCTGATTCGATGATGTGAGTGTGCGACAACAGGGGGAAGAAGGAATTGTGCTACGA